CTCACCAGCGGCGAGATCACAGATGACTAGGGTGACACCAACATGTTCCCCTCATCAAGCCGCGTTCTGTTGGTGGTAAAGACGTGACCTAGGGTTCACCGGAGATGGCTCGCCGGCGGCAATGGTCGACGGCGGAGGTAGCATAGCGATATGCCGGCGTTCTTCGGCCATCACGTGCACTGATGAGGTGTGCTATGGCTTCGCGGAATCCTATCAAAGCTATCTAGGGTGGGTTAGGGTTCCGGTGAGGCGGTGGTGAGCTCTGCCCACGTGCATGCCGCGGCGGCGGCGATGGCACAACGGTGCGCGGCTGTGTTCCGGCGCCGTTAGGGCAGTAGCGTCTAAGTGGTCACCGGCATGAGTTCCTACGACCTATAGAGGTGACAAGACGAGAGAGAGGAAACATGAAAACACTCGAGCTTGCGTTGGCCACGAAGAGGTTGGAGCTCGGCGGCGCTCCGACGAGACCACCGGTGGCGGAAACGGCAATGCGCCCACACCTAGACTTGAAGGGCTTGGCAAAGGGGGTAGAGATTGTAGCGCAGAGCAAGGCAAAGCTGTTGGCACGCTCGATTGGAAAATGGTGCGGTGACGGCGGCGCTACACGGTGGCGAAGCTTGCGGTGGCAATGGCGAGCTCGGCGTCGCCTTTGCAGATGTGAGAGCGAGCGAGGGAGAGGAAATGAGCGAGAGAGAGCAGACGGGCACGTCATGGTGGGGTTGAAGCCCTCCCTGGCCAAATTGGTGGGGCCTGCACTAGCGTACGGCCGCCAGATGGCGAGCATGGCCAGAGGCCGATCGGCCACCACCGGCCCGGCTTGAATCGGCCGAAGTCATTTTAGTTCGATTGAAACCGTACCCTTCCTCACTCTCTATCTCTCAAACCAGCGTGATTCAGCAAAAACCGTAATAATCAAAGTTGTAGAGCTTCAAGAGTACTTCAACTTTGCTTAAATGAGTTTAGTCTGGATCGTCCTAGTTTTCAAACTACAGCGCGTCAAACATGGGTACATTGAAACTGTAAATCACTCCCAGACTTAGAAAAATTTCAAAGTTCTAGAACAGTATTTTCTTACTACTTATGCACTATTTTAGAGCAAGTTAGGAGCTGAATTAGACCATGACCCAAAAATAAAAGATGTTACCCTAGTTGAGTTCTAGAACTTTGCTTTAGGGTGCACTACCATGCAAAGTCTCTAGTGTATAGTTTAACTTAGGTCCAACATGCAACTTGAAAATGGTAGCTTGCACTATAATCATGACTTAGAGGCCAAATTGGTCCAAGTCATGAATACCAAAGTTGTTCCATGTGACATTATAAGCATGTTTAAGGTACTCCTAGGGTCCCACAAGCATTTCACACATTGATCACATGTAAACCCTAGCCTAGGTATAAATTTAATAGGCATCACATGTGATATATGCAAGGTAGTGAAGATAGAATTTGACATGCTCGTGCTCATGAATGCTTAATGATGCTTGTGCTCATGTAATGCCAACGCCAAATGCATGCTTAACACCAGGGTGTTACAACAAGCCTCCTAATTAATAGAGGTGGGCATTTTGTGGTGCCTCCTCTATAAATGGTCTGGAGGCTCTAGACAAAACGCTCGCCTTTGTTAACCAATTTTTAGAGGAAGGCATTTTAAGGTGACCACCTTTGTTAATCGACTATTAATAGAGAGGGGCATCCTAAAGTGTCTGCCTTTGTTAATCGATTAGCTGAGACAATTATCTTAAGATGCTCGTGTTTGAAAATGAATATTTACAGATGCGGGCATTCTAAGAGTCCTTCTATAAATTGATTAACAGAGTCGACCATTTTAAGAGCATGTCTCTCGAAATAGTTGTCTAAAAAACCATAACTTTTTCACATGAACTTTGACAAAAAGGCAAACTTTATACAAAATTAATAGATCACGATATGATCTACAACTTTGTAGTTGATAAATTTTTTATTTGAATTTGTTTACAATCCCAAAAAATTGTTTTAAGCTCTAAGATTTTGAAATCTAAAATTTATAAATTCAAATAACATTGGATGTTGACATGATGTATAACAAAGTTGAAGTTGTCAATGCAATCTACAACTTTGCAGTTGACAAAGTTTATTATTTGAAGACATTTTTCGAAAATATTCATTTCAAAATTCATGGATTTTGATATTCATTTTTTAGAAATTCAAACTATCTCGGATGGAGATATATACACCCATTATTAAAATTGTAGTGCTCGACAAGATCTAAAACAATATAGTTAAAAATATTTAATACAAGATTACAAAATACTGATACAAAACAATAGCATCCAACATTCTACATAAAGTGATCATAAATGCGTGTGTATTGCAGTGGTAGAGAGAGGTTGTCTATGCCTACTGTCACTGTAAATGGTCATTAGCATAGACTATTTGATAGAAGTGGTCGACTTGCTCAATTCTATAAAAATAAAAAACCTATGTCTCTAAAAATCTTCTCTGCAGTAGCACAGACACTTGTTTTAGAGACTCTCCTAGAGAGCTTAATGGCCCTTTGCGGATGCCCTTAGGGCCGGGGTTCAACCTAGTTTTTCCACAATGGTTGGCGGCCACCAACCTTATCTCGTGGCTCGTACTACTTCAAGATTCGCGGCAGTCAACTGTGGGTTCAACACACCTATTCCCAGGTTCCATTCTAATACTTCTGAGCTGGCACTCCCTTGCCATCTTTCCCACCTTCTATTCTCTTTCTCCTTTCCATACTTGCATTCCATTGCTTACTTCGATTCCGTTCCTTCCATTACTACTGCAGCTGACTCTCTTCCACCTTTGACACTATCTTACTTTCTCCTGCTCAAGAACGGCTATCAATACTCTCTCTTTCTCAGTGTCTCCTTCCAGATCTGTCTTCTCTCTACCTCTCTCGGTTGTCTAGATCTCCCTCTCCGTCGGATGCGAAGGTCGTCTTCTCCATAAACCATGGATGGAGAAGATAATAATGTACCTGAAGATGCTGTTGCTCCGCCTGAACCTTCGCCTGCAACCCTAATCTTTTCGACTCACTCGACTGCCAAGGACAGCGGTGGCTCCTCAGCAAGCACACTGCATCATTGGGTCAAATTTGCAGGTAAAATTAATTGGTCTATGTGCACATCTTCTACATTTGTTAGATCTGGGTGCTGCTACGAGTTTATAAGCCATTTGCTCTTAGCTAGATCTAATGCCTGTACGAGTTTTCCACTTTTTTTGGCAAGGAGTGGGGTAGGTTTATACCAGTTCTGAAGATGTAATGGGTTTTAGTTGTTACTTATATAGTATCTAAAAGTTTTTTAAAACTTCTTATACTCAGGAATTTGTTCAGTATTCATGTTCATTTTATACTTCCACTTTTAGAGTTAAAAATAGATTTTGGAGGTTTTAGATGTGCTTATTTTGTTGCATCTGAAGAATGCTGCTTTTGTAGGGTAGAACTGTTCATTTTAGTTATAATGAGATTTTTTATTCAGCGTGGAATTTTTAGTTCTTATTGGTGACAGAAGTCTATCAGTTCTGATTTTTTTTTTAAATTGATATTGCTTTCAGGTAGCTCGTATATTTAAGATCTCAAAGTTTTTATAATATTCTTATACTGCCTAAAATGTCCAGTATTTTTCCTAAATTTAGAGTGGCACTTTTATAAGCACATTAGTTCTTCTAGGTTGTAGACATGCTGCATTTGTTGCAACCAGATTATTTTGTTGCATAATCCTGTTCCTTTTTTTGGTACTGCTAATAATTATTCAACATGAAATTTTATTTTTTTCTTCGGATCCTCTAATCTATTAGTTACCTTTTTTTCTGCTAGTGATTTTTGGAAATCAGCTGAGTCTTTTAGAATCTTCTTATGTTCTATCAGATGTTCATAATGTTTGTTTCTTGGAAACAAATTGATATGATTTTTAGTAGAATGAGTTATGAATCAGTGTGAATAAATGCACAATAACTTCATATGCCACTTAGACTAAGTTTATGCTATGATGACTTAATATGTTAGAATAAGTTTTCTCAACTCCTATTTTTTTTGTTGGGGAGGGGGGGGTTAGGTTTAGAGTGTTAGCTAATATTTTTATGTTCATTTTGTACTGCCAATTTTGAATAGATAAAACTAAATTTTTTTGGATGTAGATGTAATTGTTTTGTTCAATGTGAGTGCTGCATTTGTACTGTAGAACTGTTCATTTCTGATCTATTGAGTTTGTTTATCCAGTGTGGTATTTCCAATTGTTATTGGTGATATAGGTCTGTCGATTCTGTTATCTTTAAACTGGAATTGCTTTCAGGTAGTATGCATATTTAAGATGTAAAAATTTTAATAAAATTGTTATACTGCATCAAGTTGTGATAGGTGAGTATAGTAATTTAAGAGCACAAATAAATACAAACAAACTTGGTAAACATTAACAGACCTGTTTTTTTCATTTGCAACAACAACACAGTGTTTTATGCTAGGTACTTCGACGGGACCATCCTCACAAGGATACTAACTCAGGCAAGAATTCTGAAATGAAAGAAATCTATATATAGTCATGTTCTGCAAATGTATACCTAACAGATGAAATCCTATTTTTATGTTTCAACAGGAGATGCTAGTAGGCCGCAGAAATTTAACATCATGTACCAAATGCTAACTATGAGGGGGAAATGAAGGTCATCCTCCTATATGTCAACAATAACACTTGGAGAGATGGAGGAAATCTAGTGACTCAAAAATGAATGACGGGTAGACAGTGCATACTTTTGGGATGCAGACGATTCGAACTTTGGGATGGAGAGGATTTACACTTCCATTGTGTATGCGTGGAAGCCGACTAAATTGAACTGTAACCAGCAGGTAAGTTTGGGAAATGCAGTGTTGTAAGAGCATCTCTAAGTGTTCCCCAAATCCTTGAGTTTTCCGAGTCTCCAAAAATAAGTGAAAGCAACAAAGAAGGGTTTCTCCAGCCGTTTCCAAAACATAACTCCTAAAATAGTAAAAAATTGGACCCATGGGAAACGTTCCTGGCGGCGTGTGGGTTTTTGCCAGGCGAGGGAAGAGGTCCTGCACATGCGCGGGGATGCCTAGAATAGCAATGGCGCACTATCTTAATATGGCAGCGAGCGTCAACTGGAACCTGTACGAGGGCACAACAGCGCTGGTGGGGAATCTATAGCCGGAGATAGCGGAACCACTAAAGAGATGGTAATTGTCTGGGTCCTTTATGCCAACTGAAAACAGCGGAACACGAAGTCGATCAGGTGGGATGAGCGTGTCTCTTGCGAGCCCAGACGGTCGTGTTGTCGGTGGAGGAGTTGCCGGCCTGCTGGTGGCAGCAAGTCCTGTTCAGGTATGCGCTTGCTTGCCCGCTTTTCAAGATCTGAATGCCTGCCTATTAGTATAAAGCTCAATTGTACAGCTGAACTAGCAAAACTGCATGCCGTGTGCAGTCTATGACCAGAATTGTTCCATCTATCCTTCTAATAACTATAGTCTGTCTGTTGCCTAAATAAGCTCAAAGTGTAACTGACAGTCAAGAGTCCATTTCGCAGATTGTGGTCGGGAGCTTCCTGCCAAGCTACCAGATGGAGCAGAAGAACAAGAAGCCGCGAGTGGACGTGGCGCCTGCCACCGTCCCTCAGACGCCTCCCGCGCGCGGTCCCGATCTCAAGCGCGGACACCCACAGCAGCGAGCAAGGGCAGCAGAGCTCTGCGGCCCAGAGAGGGATGACCTCAGGAGGAGCCTACGGCGCGGACCAGAGCTGGGCATCCCCTGCGCAGCAGCCGATGGCGGAGGTGTCCAGGACGCTGTCGTCTGGGGACCTGAAGATGACCGCGTCCGGATCATGAGCCCTCTGATACCCAGCCGGAGCTAGCCACACACTGACTGGGAGCCAAGGTCCCCGCCGGAAGATGGATCATGGATGGATGGATGGATTGGTTCATTTGTTCCTGACTTGTGAAAGATGTGTCTACTGCAGATCTCGCGCTAGGGCGGTCTAATTGTTGCTGTATGATGAGGCAGGCAGGAGGAGAGAGTGAGACTAACAACTGCATTCGCTGTAGCCGTGTGTCCTTGCCATAGTGACGGTAATAGTCTGACAGCTGGAGGGAAAGGGAGGGGTGGGAAGGACAGTTGACCGGCGCGCGAATCTTGAAGCAAATTTGACGGTGCGGAATAGGGTAGCTAGGCGGCCGCATTGCCGTCGCCGTTTGGAGTTTTCGGGGCGGGGTTGAAGCATCTGTGTCTGCATTCATTGATATAGTTGCACGTAACTTTATTTGCCAACTCCCAACTAAACTCGTCCCTTTTATAGTTAATTTGTATATGCTACCATTGGCTTTCCCGGCCCTATAAATACTCACTCCCACCACACCCTCACATAGTCACATATGGATGCAGCAGAGTAGTTGCTGGCATAGAGTGAAGCGACGTCGTGCATAGAATAACGTACGTGGTGCACACCACCATATATATGGCGGTGGCACCTGCTGCCGCTATGCTTGAGAGTGCATCATGGACGTTTAGCAATGGCGTGATCGCCGGATTGCTTCCGGTTCACGTCCTGATGCTAGTGATCCTGGGGGCCGGTTTGGCCATGCTGTGGCGCCTTCACCGGGCGCGGGAGGTGTACCTCGTGGACTATGGCTGCTTCCTGGGCGAGCCACGGCACAGGGTCCCGTTCGCGACGGCCCTGGAGCATGGACGCCTGATGAACAAACTCATCGACGAGGAGAGCCTGAGCTTCATGGTCCGGCTGCACCAGAAGTCCGCGATCGGCGAGGAGACGAGCGTACCGGACTCGTTCTGCTGCATCCCGCCCGACCGCAGCATCGAGGCGTCCCGGCAGGAAGCCGAGCTGGTGATCTTCTCCGCCGTCGACAAGGCGTTGGACAGGAGCAAGCTGAACCCCGAGGACATCGACGCGGTCATCGTCGCGTGCAGCTTCACCACGGTGACGCCGGTGTTCGCCGACGTCGTGGTGAACAGGTACAAGCTCCGCGACGACGTGCAGAGCGTGAACCTATCCGGGATGGGGTGCAGCGGCGCGCTCATAGCTATCGGCCTCGCCAGGAACCTCTTGCGGGTGGCGCCGCCGGGGAGGCACGTCCTGGTCATAGCCACGGAGATCCTCTCGTCCATGCTCTACACCGGAACCAAACGGGAGATGCTGGTGCCCAATGTGCTGTTCCGCATGGGCGCGGCCGCCATGATCATGACCAACTCGCCCGAGCGCGCCCGTTTCAGGCTCGGCCCCATCGTGCGCACGCTGACCGCCGCGCGGGACAGTGACTACCGGTGCGCGTTCCAGGAGGAAGACGACGAGGGGATCACGGGCATCAAGCTCTCCAAGGACCTTCCCGTCGTCGCCGCGAACGCGCTCAAGGGCCACATCACGGCGTTCGGCCCCGCCGTGCTGCCTGTCTCCGAGCTCCTCCGGGTAGCGCTCTCCATCGTCAGAAACAGGCTCTTTAGTGCAGGGACAAAGGAGGGGCGCCGCTACTACCGCCCGTCCTTCGGCAAGGTGTTCCAGCACTTCTGTATCCACCCGGGCGGGCGCAGGGTGCTGTACGAGGTGCAGCGGGGGCTAGGCCTCTCGGACCGCGACATGGAGGCGTCGCACATGACGCTGCACCGCTTCGGGAACATGGCCAGCAGCTCCCTGCTGTACGAGCTCGACTACATCGAGGCCAAGCGCTGGATGAAGAAGGGTGACCGACTGTGCATGATCTCCTTCAGCCCGGGTATAGACTGCAGCAGCGTCGTGTGGGAGTGCGTCAAGCCCACGGCGGACACCGGCAGCGGACCCTGGCCTGGGCCGGATGCATCCACCGCTACCCTGTGCCGCTTCCCAAAATTGTTGAAAGGGCATAAGCAGTCGTGTTCAGTTACAGAGCTTCATCGACCTGAGTTGCGTCGTCCAACTAGCTACCACGTACTATCCGGTATCCCCTGATATATAATGTATCTTATTCTACGTACATATAGGTTTGTATACGTCTCTCTCAGTCGGTAACGAGCCTGACCGAACCAACAACAACATGTACCCACACGGATAGAGTCCACGTAGGACTCCATGTCATACATCCTCTTGTTACACTACTCCGAAGTCCAAATTACGGCCTTATTTGTAATTGTCGGGACATCACTCCTGGTCCATAATAAAATAAAACATGTTTCTTTGCCTCTATTTCTTAAGGTTTTAAATCTCCGGCTAAGTCTTTTAGCTGCTGGCCTCCTCAATAGCTAAGTGCAGCTATAGCCGGAGATAGCTGCAGTTAAGCTATTTAGCTGTTTTTGAAAAAAATAAATAAAAAAAACACATGACCATGGCATAACTGGGTTACCATTACTAATTGATCCATAACCGACTGATAGGAGTACATCACAGGTTCATAGGAGTACATCATTCAGGTTCATAACATAATATTGAAACATCGGATTCACAAAATTACATTATTCAGGAAACAAACAGAGCATTGAGCAAGAAGCTTTGCAAGATTGTTGTGCCATGGTGGCGGCATTGATGCTGCTGCTTCAATGCTCTGCCTCCACGACGCTGCTCAGCTACCAAACGCCGCCGCCAACGATTATTAGTCGCTCCGCTTAGAGCCGCCGCCGCCACCGGTCGCCTCCGCACGCCGCCGCCGGTCTCTCCTCTCGAGTCTCGAAGCTGCTGGCCCGCAGCCAGTCACTGCTGCCGCCTCCTCTTTTCTGCGGAGCTGGAGAGTGAGCGCTCGATAGGATAGAGTGGAGACAGGGGAGAGATGAGTGGTGACTAGGGTTACGTATCGTCTTTGGTCCAGTTGGGCCCATTTCCTTCTTGGGCCAGGCTAGTTTTGAGGGTTCATAATTTAGTAGCTATGCTAATTGAAGGCTAGTATAGCGGCTAATGCAATTTTTTTAACACTTTTTAAAACTAATTTTAAATTTAACACTGTTTTATTTTTTTTTCCAAAACTAACAATTTTGGCCACGCCTATTTCTCTAGCGCGGCGAGAGGGATAACGTGGCGACGACCGGGTGTGCGGAGCGGTGGCGTGGCGAGTGCTGCGCGCGCCACCGATCTTGACACTGCAGCGCTTGCGCCATCCCCCTCACTGGCCTTGCGGCGGCGAGAGGCGAGGAGAAATCGGCGCCTAGGAGGCCGGGAGAGGGGCGGCCTGCGCGTCGCACTCCGGAGACTACAGAGCGCTCCTCGTGGCGCCCATGGCTGGGTCCGTGTGTCGATCCCATATCGTGTCGCCATAAAGAAAGGCGCGGCGTTCGGTCGATTCTCTAGTGACCATAAATAAAACAACATGGACTCGACGCTGCTCAACCATGTGGCCTGGCTGCTGGCGCTTCTTTGCGGCTACGGCGAACGGCGCCTCCCTCGTGAATCGTGATGGTGGTCATCCGTGTACACACACAGAGACGCTCGCTCGTGATGCACATGACCTGACCATCTGTGTCCATCCCATATACGAGCACGAACGATCACTGCTCATATATAGTTGCTCCTCCTATAATCCTGTCCTTCACTGCTTATAATATAATATAATAGTGATGAATCCATGTGATGGTCATAGCATGGCTTGGCCCAAGCACCGATGAGCCCCCCGTTGGAGCAGCGGTGGAGGACATATTATATTATATTATGAGTAGTGGAGGACAGGATTTAAGGAGGAGCAACTATATATGAGCAGTGATCGTTCATGCTCACATACGGGATGAACACAGATGGTCAGGTTATGTGCATCACGAGCGAGCGTCTGTGTGTACACAGATGACCACCATCATGATTCACGAGGGAGGCGTCGCCTCGTCAGACCTGCAGCAAGCGCTAGCAGTTGTGGCCACATGGTTGAGCAGGCGTCGTGGTCCATGTTTCTTAGGGTGTGTTTGGTTCCAAAGACTAAAGTTTAGTCCCTGTCACATGTAATGTTTGGATGCTAATTAGGAGGACTAAACATGAGTTAATTATAAAACTAATTACACAGATGGAGACTAATTTACGAGATGAATCTATTAAGCCTAATTAATCCATCATTAGCACATATTTACTGCAGCACCCCATGTCAAATTATGGACTAATTAGGCTTAATAGATTGGTCTCACAAATTAGTCTCAATCTGTGCAGTTAGTTTTGTAATTAGTCTATATTTAATACTCCAAATTAGTGTCAAACATCCGATATGTCAGGGACTAAAATTTAGTCCGTGGAACCAAACACCCCCTTATTTATGGTCATCAGGAATCTGACCGAACGTTGTGTCTTTCTTTATGGCAACACGTACACGAGATCTGACATGTGGACCCAACCATGGGGCGCTCACGAGGAGCGTCTGCAGTCTCCGGAGTGCAAACGTTGCGTCGCCCTCTCCTGGCCTCCTAGGCGTCGACTTCTCCTGGCCTCTCTTGCCGCGCCGTGAGGGATGGCGCGGTGGCGGCGCGCCAAGATCGGTGGCGCGGCAGACCCTGCCACGTCACCAGTCAGCGCCTCGGTCGTCGTCACGTCATCCCTCTCGCCGCGCCACCATGCATGGTGTGGCACAGGCATTTCGCCGCGCTAGCGAAATAGACGCGGCCAAAAGTGTTAGTTTTGAAAAAAAATAAAACAGTGTTAGATATAAAATTAGTTTACAAAAAGTGTTAAAAAAAATCGCTGTTGCAGGCTAAATGGCACTACTAGCACCCAAGCTTTCTTAGCGTGAAAAACTGCAGAAACTCTGGTCACCACCCCTACTATGGAAACCTCGACCATGTATATTGTGTCATTTCAATAATTAAGCACAAATAGTCCCAATGCTAATCATATGTTCTCGGGTTTGAAAACTCGGGATTTGGTGCATCTTATAAGCTACTTATGGTTAAAATAAGGACCAATTTGCACGACTTTGGCTCTTCCAAAAAGGCCTTCAGCTCTGACTCCTCTAGTGGTGGAGCTAAAAGCCGTTTGAAAAACTTTTGGCAAAAATGACTCCAATGTCACTTCTGTTATAATTTGTGCCAAGAGAGAATCACGTTTTCATGGCCGCAGCTTCTCAGTACAAAATTGGCTCCAGGTCCTCCGTACTTCTTCGTTGGGGCCATATTATGGATGGCCGGACTCAGTCGTGTCAAAAATCCCTAAGCTGAAATTAACAGCCAAACAATGCACTTTTTTGTAATTTTTTGTAGCCACGCTTATTCTCACATCCTCCACTTGTACTAAAAAGAAGAACCAAAATCAAACCTGCTTATTCTGATCACACTTTTACTCTATTTATACAACTTCTTAGAGAAGCGCTTCCCATAGAAGGTCTTCCAAGCAAGGTCATTGTTCAATTGTAACAACGGTTGTAGCACCAGTCTGAAAGACGTGAAGCTCACCACCAACTCTTCCACCTCATTCAGAATTGTCATAATTTCTGAACGGTGTATACCTCTGTTCTTCCAAAGAGAAACCAGCACCTATGGTCTTGAGTGCCTGCCGGAATTAGACGAACCCATTCCTTGAGTGCCTCTGCTTCAGCTAATAGAGCCGATCTAACTGAGCTGAGCCGTCGTGCAGAGGCCACCCGTAGTTGACCTGAGCTGCAGCGCACCACTGCTCCAACTGCTCCCACACATGAGTCCTGCACAAAAGCGCCATCTATGTTGACTTTGAAGAAGCCTTCATCGGGTTTCCTCCATCTCTTTTCTTCCAGTGCTGATCATCTCCCATCTTCTGGAGTTTGGGAACTAGCTGATAGGTGGAAGCATGCCTCCAGCGCCTAGTCCACCGCCAGCCTTGGTTCGATCGGTAATTTTTAGTATCGTCGATCATTACTGGAGTTCCAAAGCCACCACATACCACACAAGATCACTTCTCAGTCTCCATCCTTACAGCAAGAGGTGTCCAACAAGTCCCTTGTCCAGGTTTTCATCAGGTTTAGCTTGGGGACTTTGATAGCCACGGGAGATTAGAACTTTTCCAAAAACTGATAGCAAACGTACATTGTGTCAATGCATGATACATCGACTCCTCACAATTGCCACAAAAGCCGCACACTCCTATATTTGCTCGATATGTCGATGATGGAGATTTGCTCTTACATGTTATAAAGTCATGGGATACTCCCCACCAAAAGACCTTTATCTTTGGTGGCACTTTGCATCTCCATAATCGTTGCCAGTGGGGATCATTGAGAGTGGCCGAGTGGAATGTCGCGCTTGCTCCATGATAGACTCCTGCACCTCCTGCTCCACCAGTAGACGATAGGCTGAACATACCGAGTATATGTCATGGCGTTCCCCCGACCAGTCCTAAAAATCCTCCTGCCTTCTCCCTAGTGGAATTCTTCTGACCACGTGTGCATCCGAATGCAGCAAGTTGCTCTCTAGAACCTCATCATTCCAAGATAGTCCATTCGCATATAGGAGTTCAGTAACCTATACTGCCGACGCACCAGGCTTAGGGCAAATTGGCCTACCACCAACTGCTCCTAGAATCAAGCGATCATGCCAAATTTTCATTGATTCACCGTTGCCAATGAGGCACATCAGCCTGCATTGCAAGGCCTTCTTGCCTAACAAGATATCACGCCAAGTATGGGATGAGTTCCGCTTATTTGTAGCTGACAGGAAATCTCCATTGAGGTAGTACTTCCATGTGATTACCCGCACGCACAAAGACTCAGAGGTTGTCATTAGCCGCCAACCTTGCTTCCCTAGCATGGCCACATTGAAGTGTATTATGTCTCTAAAGCCCATACCTCCTCGGCATTTTGGGAGGGTAAGGTCCTGCCAATACCTCCAATGGATGGCTCGGCTATCTGCTAAACCACCCCACTAGTAGTTTGAGATGGCCCTAGTCATTTTCTTACTTGTTCTCGCTGAAGGAGTGAAGCAACTCATCGGATATGTGGCTGCTGTCTATGCCACTGATTTAATCAAGACCTCCTTGGCGGTGCCACTGAGCATGCTAAAAATTTTAGCATGCTTCAGAGGCCT